AATAGTAATACCAACAAATTTATTGGTTCGAATGGAAGGAGTTCGATTTTTTTTTAAATAAAATCTGAGTTTGAGTTTTATAAATGGAGAAATAAGTGTTGAAAAAATGTTTGATTTGGTTTGATTTGGTTTGATTTCAAATTAATCGGGATTTAATGTAGTTATTGAATACCAAGAAGTTAATACCAAATAATAATAATAATAGAAAAATCATGAGAGAAAAGAAATAAATTGCTGCAAATGTGTATTGCAAGCAATTCTTTTTTTTACTAAGATTTAAATATGTAACCATAACTTTAAATTAAAATTTTATTAATTAATAAGTACTAACTTGACAAAGCTTTTTATTGGTTATGTATAGGTTTAGAAAATTATTTTATTTTTTAGTACATTAGAAACCCATTTGATCCAACTTGATTAACCATTGGATTTTCTGTATGGGGATTTATGAGACACCAGTTTTTTCTTATATGTATAATCTTTGGCCAACAAACTTTATGTTAGTAATTCAAATACTCTCTCTTTTCGGTTTACCAAATTACCAAAAAGAATAGTTCGGTTCAAAAATATTAGTTAAATTTTGTTAGTTGAACATAATTTAATTTTGAGGCAAATTAAGCAGCTGACCTGTATATAGCTTGCCTAGGTGTGCCATAGATATATTGTAATTTATGATTAGATTAGGCGGGGTGTTTCCGCCATTGATTAGCCAAGTTTTATTTTTATAAATATGATACACGTGGTTAACAATATTGTTAAGTATTGATGTACACAGTAATTCGTCGAATATACCTAATATTTCTCTTAAACTAAACACCTAGTTTCCTTATATTCAAGGTATATAACACTAGATGTGCCAAAAGTTTGTATCCTCCATCTAACATAGATGTGTGAATGTAAATTTGGAAGAAGTTAACAAGTCGAAAGGTCCCATTGTTGAATCAAGCTTTCAAGTTTAATGATTCGTCTCTAAACCTTAGTGTTTGGTTTAATTGGTTGAAAATTCGATTCCCACTAATTATTTAAAAAAATTCTCCTTCTTCCATGATTAACCATGTTTAAAAGAAGAGAAAAGTTCAAACGTTGAATTAGGCCTTCAAGTTTAATAATTTGTCTTCAAATCTTAGTATTTGGTTTAATTGGTTGGAATTTCGATTCTCATTAATTACTTAAGAAAATTCCCTTCTTCCATGATTAACCATGTTTAAAAGAAGAAGAAGAAGAAGAAGAGAAGAAGAAAGGTCCCAACTTCACTAAAAAATACAGGCGCTTGCTATAAGTTGCATATAATCCAACCTTTAGGCTCTAGCTAGCTAGGATTTGGTAATTAGTTTGACACCATAATTTTGTTTCAAGGTAATAAATTTCAAAGGAGAAGTAGGACTTTGAAGGCAGTTGTCTCAACTTTACAAACAACACGAGTTTCATGGGAATTTTTTTTTACTCTAAAACGGATGTAAAGAGACTTTTAAAAAATATTATCTTTATTATATTGTTTATTATGAAATATATTAAAGTAATGTTCTTCTTATAATATGTCTAGATAAGCATTGAAAAACTTTCAATAACATCTGCCCAAAAAAAGAAGAAGGGAGTTTAGGTGTAAAAATAATAGTGAAAGGGAATAACTCTATTACCCAATACACAAGGGAAAACGATGGATAGATCTATATGACTATATATCTATGAGCCCATTTTATAGCAAATCAAGAGTCATAGTACAAAAAAAAAAGTCATCACTGTCAAACTTACTAGTTTTAGTTGGTTTTCAATCTTTCTAATTACTTCAATTTATCACTTGGATTTATAGAGTGGAGGTTATGCAGTACTTGGATTTATAGAGCCTTTTGCTAGTTTGTACCCGGCCTGCCGGCCATTTACTTTTGCCCATTTAACGCTATACTTTACCTACCAACTCAACTCATTGAGGTGGTTTGAACCCTTACCCCTAATTTGTAATGTAAAGAAAATGTCCGTGATTTTTCATTTAAACATTACCAATTTACCATATTTCATGTTCATCATTGGTTGACCTGTTCACCATCTCAAGAGAGGGGTGGTGTTTAGGACTTCAAAATCCTGAGTTCATATCTAGAGACTCACTTTCCCACATCCAATCCCCTACCGGGCCAACCCCCAGTTTTCCCCAGTTAAAAATTAAAAAAAAAAACATTACCATATTTCACTATATATATAAAAAGGAGATATCTATTTACATTTAAAATTTATATACCATACTTATATAAATTTTATATGTTACATTAATATAAAATCTCAATAATTTATTTTTTAAATTTTAATAGTTGAGATTTATTACGATATTTTAAATAAAAAAATAATTATTTATAATAAATATGAATAAATCTCAATTATTAAAAATAAAAAAATCAAATAAAAAAATTTATATAAATATGATTTGTAAAACTTATATATAAATAAACTTCTACTTATATATAAATATTAGTTACACTTACAAGCTAAAATTTATATAACTATACTTTCTCCCTTTACCCATCCCGCCTTATCTCATGCATACTAGTTCCAATTTAGGATCTTGAATTTGCTCTATTTGAAGGAAAAAATTACCATCAACCGCTTAAATAACTGACATATTACATGTAATGTATCTAATCAATGAAGTCTGATGTACTGAATAACGTAAGAGTCCTTCTAACTAGGTTAAAGTTCCATGTTACCCCAAGTGTATAGTTCTACCAAAATGTATTGGTTTTATAGCACTTATTCTCACAATCCCACAATTCTTTTGGAGTTTTTTTTTTTTTTTTGCAGTTTTAATTTTTTAGTATTGTAGTTTTAAAAGGTGAATAAGTTTCAATATTAAAAGCCAACGAATTAAATAATTCAGTGATAATTTTCTTTTACTAGAAATAAGAGATTTTGAATTCGAATTACATGACATATGAGTGAGGTAGAATAAAGATAAGAAAAATTTATCTTTCGTTGTGCAACTAACATAACAAAAAAAAAAAAATTTCAATATTAAAACATTTTAATACAATTTCGAGAACTCTTCTTAAAAATTTCATTATCTTTCCATCATAAAATCGTTCTACTTTTGAAATACATACTCTAGTACGCTATAATCCCAATTACATCTAAGACTAATTAAAAAACAAAGCAATAAAGCTCATGACGCGCTAACTATTTGAAGGAAAATAATTAAAAATGAAAAATGCTTGGTTTTATTTATTTATTTTAAATTATGTAATAAGAGATAATATTTTTTATCTTTTAATTTATTTTATTTACATGTCATATAATTTAAATTTAAAATTTTTTATTTTTTTAAAAAATAATAATTATTAAACTATTTAAATATTAACGACACTACCAACTATTTAAATAATTCAGTGGTTATTTTATTTCGTTGAAAATAAAAAATTTCGATTTCGAATCACATAGCATACGAATGTGATAAGATAAAGGATAAGGGATGGTTGTCTTTTTTGTGCAACCAAGATAAAATAAAAAAATGTTAATGATACTTAATATATAATATTTTAAGTACAATATAACATAATATTTTATAATTAATTATTTTTATTTAAAAACATATATGTTATTATATATATCTATTTTAATGCTAGCATTTCCCTAAAAAAATTGTACTCACCAAAGATGACAGTATCAATACAGCAAAGAAATTAATTAAAGAAGGGGGAAAAGTAAAGGCATTAGCCAATGACATCTAAAGATATATTAAAGCAAAACCAAAAAATTCTTTTTGTGTTCACACTGTATATTTACATGTATAAACTATATAACTTTACCTTCTAAACCCCTGAATTGGATCAGAATTGGATTGGAACCAGTTCAAATACTTCTTTTCACACTACATTAAATTTAATGATAGGGGTGGAGTTATTATTATATCCTAAATAATTAATATCATACCCTTTTAATATAAAATACCCATTATACCATTACATTATACTTTTTCTTAAAATTATACATTTTTTTATTTCTCAATAAATTAAAAGTATAATAATATATATTAAAGCTAAACAAAAAAAAAACTATTTTGTATTTATACTGTGTATTCACACTTATAAATTAAATAATAATAATAATAATATTATTATTATTATTATTAAAACTCTAAATGGGATCCAAACTAGATTGAAAACGGTTTAAATATTTCTTTTCACATTACACTTAATTTTTTTTATTATTCTTATTCAATCAACCAATTTAATTCAATTCAATTATATTATCCATTTTCCTAAATTCTTATTAAAAAAAATATTCATAGACTTATGTTTATGTACACGTGTAACTGAATTTTTTGTTTATTATAGTTAACAGAGGTTTTTTTTTTATAATTTTAAAATTCAAAATATAGATAATTGGGACTATAGCTGAAGATATATAACTAGGTTGAATAAATTTATTCTTTAGTTATTTTATTTAATATTTTCAATTAAAAAAATAATAGTAGTAATAATTAGTATAATAATTTAGTACGTAGATCTATATAT